ATTTATTTTAATTTGTCTTTATTTACTTTACAAAAGAGTTTAAGTAGGTAATAAAATTAGTAGTATTATAAATACTGCGTTTATTAATATTAGACTTTTAAAATATGTCTTATTTTATAATAAATATTTATATTACAGAATATACAACCTATAACTAGAAAACACTAGATTATTTAAATAATTTTTTAGTAACAATCGAATAATTTATCCAGTATATAATTAAAATATACAACCAGATAAAACCAGGAGGTGGAAGTAAGTTAATCTTTTCAAATTATATTCCTGTCATAAAATTATCAATTTATTGGATTTGTAGTTATTATAAAAATATACAAAATTACAGTTTATTCAGTTACAATGATTAACTTACATAAAACAAATTATTTACAATTATTTTTATTTAAAATTAATATTTTCTGTCATGAGTCCAGACATTTATTTGCTAATTGTAGTACAACCGAATATTACATATTTATTGTAATAATAAATTATTTCTCATAATTTCTATGATCTGAGATCCAATATTCAATTTTTGTTGCATACATTTTAGTCTAATTTTCTCATTGTATTGTTTGCCACTTATCAGGTTCATATCCCATGTCTCTTATATAACTCGATACATAATCTCCTCTTTTATAATGGTCATCGTAGTATACATGGTCTTCACTCTTAGAAGGTACTTGAATGATTTCGACTTGAGTTTTAGAATCGTCTTTTCTGTTTTGGTAGCCGTAGTGCGAGTGATCGAACATGCCCTTGAGGCTGAGGACCGACGCCATTACAGTCGAGAAGAACCCCATCATTAGGCCTAGGAAATGAGAAGTAGATAGATAAATAATTCTTTATTGCTCAAGATTATTAGATATTGATAGAATCATGAAATATTTAAAAATTTACACCTGTGATCATACATATTAGCTGTTTATTTTGGTCGCATCCCAAACTCTCTAGAAAAATCTAGGAGAATATACCTAGTGAGAGACATTGTCCTAAGTGTAAAATTCACGCTCTCAGGTGAAAATTAAATCAAAGTTTAATTGGCTTAGTAGCTAATGAAATGTTTTAGTAGTGGCAAGTTTTCTGTGTGGCATGATCAGTCTTCTGCCTTTGCATTGGATAGAAAACATAAAAAAAAACATCAGTTAGCTATTAAAACTTGCGCGGAATGTCAAATACAAAGTTGTACTTATATAAACAGCTTCGTTTTTATCACCCTTTTGAATACCGATACCGCACATGTAATACGAATTATCGACAAAATTCCTTTTTCTGTGGAGCTGGTACATAATTAAATGACTTTTCCATCAAGCATCCTCAATTGACATATTGACATATTCAACACAAAACCTGCAGTAGTCAGGCGATTGATGACCAATTCCTACTTCGATCAGTGTTTGAATTTGTAATTTACTTTGTTTTATTATTATTATTCTAGTGTAATATCATTATCGTAAGCATTGTTTTCCCTTTTTTTCTTCTGTTATTATAAGTGAAAACTTGCAAATGGCTTATAGACGCATAATTAATTTCTATTGTGTAATTACAGCTGTAAGTTTTCCTAACTAAAATAATAAAAAAAAACAGAATGACGTTAGCAACTCTGAATAGATTCAATGAATTGGAATACCCTGGTTCAATTAATTAATTCTAATAGGATAGGAAACTTGTAAGCTGGTAATTTAAATGAGGTAAATGCATGTAAAATAAACCTTACCTTTAGCTGATAGAAATGCCAACGCTTTTAAGGCTATCGGTATCAAGAAGCTTTTAGCTGCTAACAAACCCAGTATCAATGGAAGCACGTATTTCTTCTGCATCTTATACTTACTGCCTCGTTTGTTTTTAGATTTCGCATTTTTCTTTATCACTTTAAATATACATTTCTTAATTTTGCCTTTGCCTTTCCTCTGATTCTTTTTCTTTTCGTTTTTAGCTCTCTTCTTTGTTTTTTTCGCACTTTTCGGCTGCGGTTCTACTGATACTTTAATTTTTGAGTTCTTTAATGCCCTGGTTTCGCTTATTGAAGGGAAAGAACCTGTAATTAAATGATGATAGAATATAATTTTTCAATTCTATATCTTTTTATGAACCTTTTATTCAATCGATAAAAATATTATTGATAAATGATAACGCAGACTGAATAATTTTTCAAAAGTAGCTTTATCAAATTTACATACTGATGATGATACATATATTTTACATAACTTTTCGGTAAACTCCATAGAAATCAATTCCAAATTAATGACAACTTTGTAAATTAGAAAGGATAAATTTATATCCATTTTCTTATCCACATATTCGTTATATAAGTTCATAATATAATTTATCTTGACTTACCGGGTAATGTTCCCTGTCCGAAATTTCCTTGTGAAAAGATCCAGTCTAATGATTCCGTTGAATTAAATGTGTTGTTCACATAATCAGCATTTTTCGGCCCGAATCTTAATAGCGTTTCGGTCTTCACTATACCATAATTATTTGTATTATCTAAAATTAGACCACTAGTATATGGAATCATCTTTACATTATTCCAATATTAATTATCACAACATTATTTTGTGCTTTCTACATTGATTATTTATAAATTTCGAATAGACTTCTTTTTGTATTTATTTCTATTATCTTTTGTTTTTTTTTTTTTTTTATTTTTAGTGCGTATCAGCGTGTTTTTTGGTCCCGTCACAAGCAAACTACTAATGGTGTTTGCTTTGAGATATCGTTGTCATTTATACCATGCAAATGAGTTCATTACGGCCTATTAAGCATTGCAGTGCGTTTTTCACTACAATTAGACATTTTAAGTGGCTAAATTACATTTCTAATTATTTTGATCGGATTTTCAACCTTGTGCATGTTGTAAAAAAGATGAATGGAAATGTGGATAGGGATAATTTCGAAAAATTCGAAAGCCGTTTCCGTACAAAATTGAGACAGATATGGTCATTTTTAAAAATAGTAGTTAGTTTTTATAGTTTCTTTGACTTAAGTATTTGTTTTTTATTTTTTATTTATTTATTCAGTAATATTAGTACCAAGTTTATTGGAAGAAAGACCAAAAATAAGCATATATTATCATTTATTATAGTCGTAGTCGAAGGGCTCGATGGCGAAGTGGATAGCGCGCTCGGTTGTTAAGCAGCTTTCGCATGGGTCGGTCATAGGATGGGTGATCAAAAATTTAATATCTCAAGCTTTTCTGTGCTTTGGTAAGCACGTTAAAGCCTTTGGTACTGGCTGCATCTGCAGCCGTTAGCGGCACTGGGATCGCAGCCGTCATGACTAATTTTCCCTATTCCTTTTGATTCGATACTAGGGAAAGCCTCGGCCCCAGCAGATGGGACATTGAAAACTGGTGTTGATAGTCTTAATGTTTGTAGCATTATTTATATATCGAATACATTTATAGATTGTCCAATATTTAAAAAAAAACTATTTATATTAATATTCCTCAAACCTTCTGTAAATCGATTTTTTTCCATGTAATAACCATTTAGGTACCTATGGTATATCATCGATATCTTATATACAATATGTAAAAGATTTCTTATATTTTGTTTTACATTTAAAAACGGGTTACCTAACATGTAGATCGTTGAATCTTACATTGGTCAGTATGGAAAGTTTGAAATAGGATGACTATTAGACGTGTAGCCTGTACTTTAAAAAAAGAACAAATCTGATTGAACTGGTTTACGATGCTCGTCGTATAATGTATTGCTAATAGTTTTTTTAAACGCTGCTTTAACAAAGTAGCAAATTATATTTTCCTAAATTTAATCTTGTTTGTGTGGTGATAATAAAGTTATAGAAAACAAGTGTTAAAGGAAATTTCATAACTATACGATAAATCAATCTTTAAAGGGGAGCCAATAATTTTTATGTGGCTCCCCTTTAGAGGGTTAGGTGAGAAGGAGAGGATACTGAGCAAGTCCCAAAATCCAATACCTTAGACTTTTAATTTATACTTATGTATTTCATCTATTTATAATAATTGTCAAACTAAACGCATTTACAACCTAACTTGGTATTTTCGATGTCTAACCTTATAATGTTCTAAAAATATGAATATTTGTAAATGTATGATCGCTACAAAGCGCCATGATTACGGTAACTTGAAATAGCGTAGAAATATCGGGAACTCGTGAAATATAAAGTACACGATAACAATTCCGTTTTAGTAATCATTCTGTATGTTGAAAATGAAAGTTTAAAACAACAAATTGTAAACGAAGCCTCTATTCTATCTCAAATTTTTCATCTAGAGTTTTGGATTCCAATGGTTACTTTTGGAAATTGTGTCTTAACTGTATTATTTGTTATGGCATTCAATCATAAAGACACCTAGTGATTTCAATGTCAAGATAATGATTGCTGTTAATTAACAAAACTTTATCGCAGCAAACGAAACCGTCCATGATTTACTTTGTGTATATAAGGTTTTTTGGCATTGTTGAAATTTTTAAATACATTTAATTAAATCAATTTACTTACAGCCATTTTAATTTCACCAATGATTTTTAAGATTTCGACGTACATATTTGGATAAAAAAGATAGGTAAAGGAGAATAAAATACAGACCGCCTTGAAGCATTTTGTATAATTTGCAATATATTTTTTAAACTAATAAGGTTACTGGATGTACATTTTCTTTATATTCACTGGTAACTACTGCTGTCTACTCTTATTATAGATTTATGAAACTAATAATAAATTATTAAATTAACTTACAACGATAAATAGGAAGTTTTTATTTACAAAAGCGCGAGCCCTATATTAAATCACTATCAAAGAAATTAACATTAAACTAAAAATAGAATTCAAAAGAGCTAAATATAGTAGTTAATTGTATGACATACATGATATAGAACGTGAAGTAAGAAAATCGGTGGATACAATTAATTTGAATGACAGACTAGTATAGTCACGAGTCTCCGATGAAATATTATCTAAGTTTGGATGGCAACTGCGATTGTGTCGACTTTATTTAACTATTTTGTTGTTTAATAACCGCCGCCCTTTTGTAGACCCATGACTGCTGCGAATAACGCGAAGAAGAAACCAGCCAGGCCCGTCGCACCGATCAGTAGAATCAGCCCTCCAATCATAACTGGCACCAAGGCGAAATACTTCATCTTGTAAGCCAATAATAATGGCAGAACATACTTTTTGAGTTTGGTTTTTTTAGGTTTTAGTGGTGTTTTGTGTTTAAACCCTTTTGTTATTTTATTGTCTTCTTCTGTTTCTAATTCGTCTAATGCTTCCTCTTCTTCATCGGCTTCATCGCCATCCTCGCCAAAGAGATCTGGAATGAAAAGAAGAACTATTTTGATAAACAAGTCACTTTTATTATTTCTTCTAAAACGTTATTTTTTTGGAAGCTAGCCTGGCAAATAGTACCTATAGGAAAAATTCCATGGCAGACGTAAATGAAATTAAGAAAATATATAACTTTTGTCTCCAGTTCATCATGGTGAGGATCGCTAAATTGCAGAATATGTGAGTTTCTAAAAAACTCATTAAATAATTAATATTATTTTTAGACACACTTGTCGTGACCGAATCAACATTGCTGAGCGTAAACTATTGAAATTAGACCCATAATTTTTGGTTAGCAGACATATTTTATAGAGTACATACTGAATAACAATTTTTTGGGAAATCAACTCCTAAGTATGAAATATAGGTTGAAAGTTTATATTATGAAGTCCGTCGGTTTTGTGGTTTGAAAAATTAAACTATATTTTTATCAATAAAAATACCTGTTGTACGTATGTACGTATGTGGCAATGCTACTAATTAGGGGATGAAATAAGGGCTGAAAGTTTATATGGAAGTCCATTAGTCTTGAAGTTAGAAACGAAATGTTTTATTTTAGGTTACGTATAAATGATAGTAAGTACCTACTTCAGTATTTGTGAAAATACTATGCCTAAGGGGGCAACAAAGTAGTTCAAAGTTTGTATGGAAATCTAATAGAACTCCAACTGGAAAGTGATTCCAGAGACCAACAGCTTAAACGTAAAAGAGGAATTATAAAAATAAGTATAATATACAACGCAAGGAATCATTTTTGGATTCTATTTTGTTTATCATGATATTTTAACGTGCAGGTGCAGTCAACGTTTCTCTTATACTTGTACTGTCAGAGCGAATAACTGAATAATGAACATTTACAAAATGACTGCATTACTGAGATCAACGGCCATTAAGAAAGATTTAATTATCTTTACATCAGAGAGAAATTAACGATCTTTGTAGTAGTAATAGAGCAATGACTGGTTGCACGCAAAAATGTAATATAATTAGATAAATAGTTTCATATTCTTTATTTGATATAAGTAGTTACTTATTATCTCTAGAAACTGTGTACCATACTTGCTGGACTTTGAAAGGCTGTAATGCTAAATCCATAGTTATAATATAATATGGAAGTAATTCTATCGTTACGCTTTCAAGATCAAACCGGTGCAGCCGACTATGATGAAATTCGATATTCTCTTAAAATATATTTAAACAATTAATCTGGAAATTTTAATAATTTGATAATTTTACGTCACGAGATAGAGTTGCAAAAGAGTTTTTAGTTTTTTTTTTAATTTACCGCCTAAAGAAGACACACCTACACATTGTCAAGTATTGCTCTGTTTGGTTAAAAGTTTACCACAGGAAATAGTTTTTCAATCGATAGTTGGATACTAGAATTCATTTTACTCAGCGTGATACCTATTAAACATGAATTGTAAACTGCAAACGAACCAAAATAGGGAAAAATGTTGTTTTTGGGGAATCCTACTCTGACTACTGTATGCTCACGCACCGATATTCATCATTATTTCCTCCTCTCTAATTAAAGAAACACAGAGGAGCGGCAAGGGGAGGATAGAGCGGTAACTCTATGCGCAACGCTTAAAGGAGCAGGATTGGCTCTGGCAACGCGGTTGTGGAGTCATCGACGTCTAGGCTTTATGAGGTAGACTCATGTTGTAATTTCGTAGGCTGTCCGGATGTGTGAGCTGCGGCCAGTGAGACTTGTTTATCGCGTTATTCCTGGGCTAAAATAATGTAAAAAAGTAATATACGAATAACTTTATTTAGGCATAATTAAGCATAAATATTAAGTAGTAGTAAGCATAACATTCTTAAGTTATAATAAATTTATAAATTTACCTTCGAAACGAATCGTTCTTACCTAATCTAATTATTCTAACTAGCATAATTTTAATTCGCACAATGACCCTAGTATTGTGAAAAAAGTTTCATTGCCATAAGCCACAGGTTATAATTTTGCAATAATTATTTTTGGCATGCAGTATATAGGGGCATAATATCTTTTAAGGCAAATATTTATTAGCATAATTTGTATTCGCATATTTTTACTAGAAAGAAATAAGCTCATCTCTCGGTCAGGTTAAGATAAAAATTTGCTTAAAACAAGAAGCGAACTCCTTATACAAGTATTCTATTCTTTATGGATGGTCTTATTATTACAAAAATGTGCGCAAGCCGTTTTGTGTGAATAGTCTTATAACTCAATATATGTAGAAGAAATAAAAGTATGCAATGCAAAATTATGTCTTAACATTTTATGCAGATAGATAAAGAACCCAGGTTTTCTGCTGAAATTCAGCGCTGTAGTAAAATAACATAACCAAAACACTATAAGAAACATAAAAGAACACTTTAATCTTTAAAGTCGGACTCACGCACGAGGTGTTCCGTACCACCCATAATCATGTTTTTTTATATGAGAGCCCTCCATATATATTTAATTCAATTTTATTTTTATTTTTTTCATTTCAATTTAATTATTTATATTTAAAGTTAATTTATAAATACATATTCTGTAAATATTTCAATCGTATGCTTGTTTCCGTTATAATTATCCCGCAATATTAAGCAAAAATATCACGTTTGTTGTGTGGGAGCCCCCCTAAATCTCGAGCAAAAACGAGCAAATCATGTTTGTTGAATGGGAGCCCCATCAAATATTTACTTTATTTTGGTTTTTGAGTATTCGTTGTTAAAACAGCAACAAAAATACCTCATCTGTGAAAATATTTAATGTCTAACTTTCACGGTTCATGAGATACAGCCTGGTGATAGACAGGCAGAGAGGGAAGTCTTAGTAATAGGGTTCCAGTTTTAACCTTTGGATGCGGAACCCTAAAAACGAACTAGTAGGTTTTCATTTTATGTGTATACATATTGCAGTTTTCAAAGCTTTTTTAATCTGCTTATTTATCCTCCATCTTTTTAAAGTGATGCTCCTATAATTTATAAGCTTATACCGTTCAAATGTCTATATAACTGGAAACTACGAGTAATTTGAAATGAAATATTATAATGATTTTATTGAATTTGCGTTTATACTGAACTAAGATTTGAAACTGCCCTAGGATAGTCCAAGTCTAAGCTAAAAAAATATAGACGTCATTCTAAGATACTGTCAGCCTGAAGGTAAATTTTATTATGTTTACGAGACATTGTTGGTCATACCTCGTGCCATTTATAAAAGGTGAATGAAATTTTTATCTTCTAACTATTGCGTTGTTGTTTTTTAGTAATACATCACTATTTTTTAAATTCGGTATAATTAAGAATTTCTATATTAAAACTCGACTCTAAGGGTTATCTTTACGCAAAATTCTATGCGATAGGTTATATATGTTTTACATTTGACTACTTTGATGTTCATTTAATTACATCAAGATTTAATGACCTTAGAATAGTTTAAAGGTACAACTGAATACTGCAGTCACTGACTGCGCTTTTTCTAAAGTAAGTTAAGCAACTTGGAAAAAATTATCAATCATCTGATGGGTGACCAAAATATTACTATCTCAAACTCGTTAGTCATGTACTTTCAGCTGTTGCTCCTGGCTGTATATGCAGTAAACAGCGCTTTCATCGGGCCGAATGTGAGTTATGCCTTATTATTTCTATGTGATTTTATTAAATAAGGCATATGTCCTAGTAATGTTCAAATATATGTACTATTCCGTTAGCACAAAGTTAAAATTGCCATGCTTTGCTGTGAGATTAGGCTTACAGTCATTGTAATAATTATGCGAATTTATTGATGCCTGGATGCTCACTTTTAACATATGTTGATACCAGTAATCTTATTAATATGTAAGAATATCAAAATATAATAAGATATCTTTAAATTTAGAAGTTCATAGATATTTTAGCAAAGTTTCTAAACTAACCAATTCTCAACACATTTTTTCGTAACAAATAAAAAGAGTGATATATTTCTGTTCCGACTAATAAGGCTTCATAAACTGTTATATCTGTAATCACTCACTGTACCATGATAATCAAACACGCTATACTTATTGAAGCAATATAATGTGTATTTACATTTATTGAACCACAAGCGGAAAAGATTACTAGTAATGAAATTCAGGGTAGCGGAGAGAGTGTGCTTCGTAACGCGATCAATGTAACGGAAAATAATGATAGGGTTTGTAACGGAATGACAATTTTCAATATCAGTATCAAATCTGAACATGATATTTTAGATTTCTAATCCTGTATTTTATTTGTAATGAGCATGTAGAAAGTGTTTGGTATTTGGAAAACTTTATTGACTTTTCTTGTTTAAGAATTCAGTTTGAATCCCAATGTTTTTGAAGATATAAATTAATTTAGCAAAATCTTTCAATTCAAAATTAAACTTAGCAAATTTTTAAAATTAGGGGAATACATTATAATTGTCTTTTTCATTACTTATAAATAATTAGAGACCTACTAATTTTAAAATTGGGCAATGCATCTGGTTTCGTATAATATGTAGTATTATATAAATTGCAGATGTTTAAAGAAGAAACTTATAATTAGGGTGCTTTTTCTTGCTTTTTATTTAAATTTATAAGAATAACAAGATATATAAATTGATAACATGCTTTTTATTTTTATGTAAAACGATAAAGTTTTTTAGTTATGAGTTGAAGTTAGTTACTCTATTAAAGATTGACAAATAAATTGAAATGTCATGAACTTACACGATATGGATCTTCGCGATGCAACTTGCTCAGAAAAATCTCTAGGTTTCTCTATAATAGGTTCAGTGTCAATATCGAGAGATCTCTTCTGGAATTCTTGACTTCTTATTAAAGGGATAGCTTTGGGATGAAACTGCGCAACGTTCACCTCTTGTCCTTGTCCTTCTGTGATATTTTTATTACTTTTCTCTTTGGCAATTTGGAAATAATTACCGGGGAAAAGTACCTCAGGGTTGTATTTGTTTGCGTTACCAGGCGAATAATAAACACTCCTTTCAACTTGAGCCGGCTCATCTCTCCTTAAGGGTATAGCTCTAGGCTTAAAAGCGTACCTCTTTTGAGGATTTGGGTATCTAGAATCCCTAGAAGTCCTGGAAGGAGCGTAGTCGTTATTGTAACTTGATGGCTGTATCACGATCGATGCACTCGTAACGTTTAATATTGCTGATCCATCACTTTTTCTAGCACCAGACATAGTCCATAATTTCGTCAGCTTGTTCTCGTAATTCTCATTTGCATACGACAATACAACAGTACATAGCACCACTATCGTTTGTACCCGCAACCTCATTGTTATCTTCATTTTCACTGGTTAATTAATCGTTTATGTTTTATACGTCACGTGTTACACAATCCACTACACTTTCCTTTATTGTTTTTAAAGTGTCATCCCGTCCACCATTTTGTTGCAAGCGATCGCGCAAAACTGAATCACTATCGTTGGAAGTCGTTATATTTATACACGTGTAAGTATAAAGTTGCGTTTTTCCAGACTGTTCACGGTTGGGTTGGTCGGTTCGCTTCCTCGGCTGGGCCACGAATCCGATACTAGCGAAATATTTGACGAATCGAAAAAATCGGTGCGTGCTATTATTCTAAGTACGGGCGGCTTCTTCCGTTAATGATTCCTATGCGCCAATGCAACTGGGATGACGAGTGAAACTGTGTTAAAGCTATTTTTCGCATTATTTGTTTACAAGAAATACACAAATATAGCATAATAATAATTATTGATCTATCTATATTTCACGCCGGATTTCTCGAAGGGTTATTAATTAATGACTTATAACTATTTTTGTATTTTATTTTTGCAGTCACAATACTATATTGATATTTATTATATAGTAAAACACATATAAACTTATTTTCTCTACGGTTATAATAATTTCTTAATAAAAAATTCATGAAGGGTGTAATCGACAGCAAGAAACAGAGGACTGTATATAATTAAATAATATAACTTTTAGCACAGAGAGACATTTATTAATCAACGTACAAAAAGCAAGATACATTGACAAAGTCAAAAAATAAAAAAAATATAAATTAAAAACAAGTATAAAAACCTACTTAAAGAGGCCAGTAATAATATTTCAAAAGCATGGTAAGGCTGTCGGCAACAAAGGGAAAATGAAAAAAAAAAATCTAATGTATAAAAATATTATAATAAAAGTGTCCTAATAATGATTACATGGTATTGGTTTACTGAATTTAAAAAATGAAAGATTAATTTTTGAAATTGGTAATTTTTAACTCCTAATAAAAATGTTCAAACAGTGAAAATCAAAATTAGATACTATACCAGGAAAAGTATTTTTAGGATCTTAACATCTATGTAGATGAATTTAATATCAATCGAATATTAAAATTAACATAAGAACTTGATTGATTCGCTAATTTATGACAGGTTTGTAACACTTCATGAAATCAAAGTTTCATGTAGCCCAATATTTCAATTTCTTGACTTACACCATTTTAGTAGAGTGAACTCAATCACGTCCGTTAAGGGGCAATTTGTTGACTCATTATGTTGTCCTCGCCTGATGCCGTTTTCTTGTCAAAAATCGTTACCGTAACGTCTATTTGATTTTGACTTTTCATAAAGTGAGAGCTCACTGTCATATTGTCACAGTAAATACGCAAGTACGTGGAAAATAAGACTCGTTTATTATTGGTTAGAAGTTTTGATTGAAAGATGAGATGCTAATTGAGATAGTTTTCTTTCTCGTTCCATTGTAATAAGCGTAGTGTTACATCGAATAATAATATTCCTCTCCCCTTCGGATCTTGATGGTGACTAGACGTGTATATTATTTAAAGTGTAAAAATAATAACTTTTAAACAAATAAATTAGCACAATAAATAGGAGTGCATGAAGCTGGAGAGTTGCCTCACAGTGACAAAAACTGAGGAGTGAGTTCTCATTGACCTATTATTCTATTCAAGTTGAGAGACGATAACAGATCACTTAAATTTGCAAAGTTAAAAAAGACAGCGATTGTTTTTAAACAGCATAACCAAAAAAGATAACAATATTATTCGCACTACCGATCTCAGAGGTCTACTTAAATTTGACGGAAAGCACATTTGTATGGAACTCATCGATCGGTGTCCAGTTAACTAGACCCCACATACTGTCCGCGTGTTTTCGCAGCGAGGTGAGGTTCCTGGTTTTTTATATTCTCCTAGTACTGTAAGCGACACTAACATTTTGCATAATGATATCGCGCTCGCCACCTAAGTCGCAGCCATCTTCACCACCGCCACAGTTTACCCAACCGGTCGCCGCCGCTGCAAATCTCATGCTACACAAACACTATCCTTCCGATCCGAATATTTCATCTGATCCGAAACACCAACATAACATCTCCAGCCGGTCTAAAAGAAGAAGAGAAGACGATTTAGAAGAATTAAAGTCTGAGGTCAAGATTATGTTTAAGGAAATGTTAAAAGAGCAACAACAGTACTTTTCGAACCTGAATGGGAAAATTGAAGAAATTAAAGCACAGAATGACTCATTAAGACAAGCAATAGAATTCAACTCTGAAAGATACGATTACTTCCTAAAACAAATGGAACAATTTGAACAAGATAAGAAACAAGATCGCCAGCATATCCGAAATTTAGAAGACAAAGTTGAACAGTTAGAGAGGCAACTCCGTACTTCAAGTCTGGAAATAAGGAATATTCCTCAAAAACCTAAAGAAACTAAATTGGATCTAGTAAAAACAGTCGAGACACTAAGTAAATTGATAGACGCGCCAATCCAATCTTCAGAAATAAAAGATATTTTTCGCATTAACTCCAAATCTGAAAAGAAAACAATAGTGGTTGAATTTACATCAGTGTTGACCAAAGAAAAGGTTACACAATCGGTCAAACAATTTAATAAAAGTAACAGGGACAATAAAATAAACACTAAACATTTACTTATCGATGGACCTAAAGAACCTATTTATATTTCGGAAAACCTTACTTCCAAAGCTAGACGACTTTTTTTTCTGGCCAGAGACTTCGCAGCCCACTATGAATACAAGTATTGCTGGTCATCATTCGGAAAAATCTTCCTGCGTAAAAATGATGGTACCGAAATAATTCGCATCAATTGGGAAGAAGACATTTATCGTTTGAAAAGTCAAAAGTGACTAGGAAATACCTTCATAACGAATAATATGTATTATCATGTAATAACAATTAATAGCTCCGCGTATAAAACATCTAATTTGGCTTCGCCCAATATTACTAAATACTTTAAACACAACATACTCATAACACCACAAAACACTTCACATTCAAACATTAACACTCATAAATCACTATTACACACATTTATTCACAAACACAAATCACTGTTAAACTTATTTATACATTCTAAAAATACAAAAAATATGCTCTTCTTTCTAATAATGGTTTTTCTAAGTCTCAAATTATTGACATCAGATAGGTATCAGAATGAAAAAGATACTACTCGAAATACCCACAATTTAACCTCTAGACACACAAAATTAAAGTACTTATCAATGAGATATTCCTTAAGTTCTTACCAGTACAGAGCTTGACGACGATGTCTCATGTGATCTAGACACCCTTAAGACAGCTAGTAGCTGTATCTGCGATGTCGAAGAGGTAAAAGACAAAATATCACACGATAATAACTGAGTAGTACTTTCCCAGAACATTAGAAGCATTCACTGTAACATGAATCAAATTGATGTGTTGATTTCTAGACTAAATATCGATATCGATATAATTGTTCTGTCGGAATGTTGGCTTAAACAGGCAGTGAGCCCACCATCTTTACCAAATTGCAATTATTTTTATACGTTAAACTGTGTTACACAAAATGAAGGGGTCGTCGTTTATATTAAGGATACTATTGCTGCCGAAGTCACAGAACCACCATTTGTAGATGCAAATTGCCTGGTAGTTAAACTTCCGAATAGTATATGTTTAATTACAATATATCGACCACCATCTTACAAAAAAACAGAAAATTTTTTAAATTCGTTAAATAATGTAATCGATTCTTTGAAGTCCTATAAAAACATATATATAACAGGAGACATTAACATAAACATACTAAATAATGACAACAAATCAAATGACTATCAAAATCTGCTGGCTTACCATGGTTTCCTTCCTGGACATATGTTCCCTACTCGAGACAAGAACTGCTTGGACCACATAATTGTAAAATCTTACTTAAGAACATCTATTGCAGTTATGAAAACTACTATTACAGATCATTTTTCATCTATACTCAGTATAAGTAAGAACAATCACGCCCCAAAAAATTTTGCCGGTTACAAAACTATTGATCTTGAGGCTACAGTCAAAAGTTTAATACAAACAGATTTCAATCCAATCTTGGAATGCAACGATCCAAATATAAGCGCAGAACTACTTGTCACTAAAATCACAGATATTGTAGATGAAAATACCAACGTCAAAACTGTATCAAATAGGAAAAGAATAATACAACCTTGGATTACGCCAGGTTTATTGCGGTGTATTAGAAACCGCGATAAACTACACGCCAAATGTAAAAAATATCCAGATAATGCAACAATAACTACTACTTACAAACGATATAGAAACTTTTGTAATGATCTATTAAAAAAAGTAGAACGATCGTATAATAAACAAAAATTAAATAAAGCAAAAAATAATATAAAGAGGACGTGGAGCGCGATTAGAGATATAGCTAAACTAGGAAATAAAAATAACAAAGACCTTAGCCCCCTCCTCCGATTGAAAGATAATCCGCAACACTCTATAAACACCGTAAACGAGTACTTTGCTAATATTGGCAAAGAACTAGCAGAAAAAATTCCCAAGAGAAATATTACATCTTCAAATAATAAATCAAATCTTCCTTCTCTTAAATCTTTCGTACTCAGTACGACTGATTATAACGAAGTATTCTCTACAATTAGAAGTCTGAAACAGAGTGCTGCTGCTGGTATTGATAACATATGTTCTAAAGTCCTCAATATGGCCATACACGTCCTTGTGCCTCCAATTACACATATATGCAATCGAAGTTTTGACGAAGGTATCTTTCCTAATTGTTTTAAAACGGCTCTTCTTAAACCTATTTATAAAAGTGGAGACATAGCTACTGTCGGCAACTATAGACCGATATCTATCTTACCCTCTTTGGCAAAAGTACTAGAACGCTTAATAAATAAAAGGTTAACAAATTATTTACGTAAATTCAAAATTATCTCAGAAAATCAATATGGTTTTACACAAGGAAAATCAACGGAACAAGCAGTTAATAAGTTAACCTCACTCGTTATTCAA